ATAATATTTATACGATGCTCTTTTTTCACATTTTGTTTCTATAATTGAGCAGTTGTATTCTTCTGATCAGGAATACGAGGTATCTCAATAATTGATATACGTTATAATTATAAGAGTACCGTAAATTGTTAGTCGTTCCACCTTGTTGCCATTTCTGCCAATTTCTTCTAACAAGCACTATGGATTTCATTAATGGGCTCTACCAAGTCAAATGCATATGACAATAGAGGTTCTACAAGAGCTAGAGTGAAAGGAGAGATGGAGTAAAATACGGTTGGGAATAGATGCGGGGTCAACTTCCAGTTTTGTTCTCTTTGTCTTCAGTTTAGCCTTCTTTTCCTTCATCGTGATAGGTCATTTTGTTAGGGAAAAAAATTCAATTTCAAAAATCAGATCCAAAGTTTATTTATACAAAAATCAGACATTAATTCAAATCTTTAATACTGTCCAAACCCTAAAAATCTTAAAATCTCAAATCAATACCCTTATCTCTCTCTCTCTCTCTCTCTCTCCCCCGCCGGCGGCTTGGTTCAACAAGTAAAATAAAGCGTGCTACGGCTTCAACTCCAGCAACGGTGCCTCGCGCGGCGTCGCGACTTTCGCGAACCACACGTGTTGTTGCTGCTCTCTCTCCCCTCTCCGTTAGCAGATGCTTGTGGCTATGCCTGCCCTAATCTTTAACGACTACAGCTCGGTTGGATATTCTCTCCTTCTGAAGAAAGAGAAGGCAATCATTGTGCAGCCTGATCGCGTGACAATTGCTAATGGACATGCATTTGGATGTGTTTCAATGAAGGATTTCTTCATTGCTCTTGTGAAGAGGCTTAAGTGTAATATGACTGCTTATGAGAATTATCGTAGGATCTATGTTCCTGATGGCGATCGTCACAACCGTTGCAAATATTAAGTTTTTCGATTCTCTCTTCTTCTTCTTTTTTTTTTAAATTTTGTGGTGGCCAGAGTTGGAGATTGATTTCTAGTGTATTGAAAGTGCAGATGGCGGTGGCGAGTTTGGGAATTTTGTTAGCGGTTGAGGTGTGGTATAGTAGAGGTGAAAAAGATGGTGGATTTTAGAAAGTATTGGTGGTGGTTACTGTTGTATGCTGTGGTGGCTGCTGGTGCAGGCGGTGATGGTGCAGTTGTGGTTGGTTGCAGTTGTAGGTAAAGGTTGAGGTTGAGGTGGTGGTTGTGGTTGGAGCCGGCTATAATGGGATGGGATCGGTGACAATGTGTGTGGTGATGTAGTAGTTCTACAAGTGAATCAGATCTGTGGTATTTTTTGATCGGGAGGTGGTGGTGGTTCTAGCGGCGACGGTGGCGATTGTGTTGTTAGATGGAGTGATGAGGTGATAGCACAAGTTTTGGTGGTGGTCGCAAGTGTTAGTTGTGGTCACAAATTTTTTGGTCGTTTGTGACCATTAAATTCATTGATTTTTTATAGATAAACAATATGTGACCAATAAAAAATATAAATTGTGACCATGAAATAATGTGTTACCTAAAAAATTGTTAATTTGTGACCGTAATTTGACAATTTGTGATTGTCTATTAAGTTGTGACTTATAATATT